AAGAAAACGTGCGTTAATCTAGCACTGTCTACATAGAGACTTAGGTTGGCTTAACTATGTCACTCAGGGGTGTGAATTTTTCATACCCCTGAGTGACATAGTTAAGATAACCTACTTTTCTAGTGTAGACCAAGCCCTACTGCCATTTTCAGAGTACAGCAGAACCTCAGAGTTATGAACACCTTGGGAATGGAGGTGGTTCGTAACTCTGAAATGTTCGTAACTCTGAACAAAACATTATGGCTCTTTCAAATGTTTACAACTGAACATTGATGTAATACAGCTTTGACACTTTACTATGCAGAAGAAAAACGCTGCTTTCCTTTTATTTTTTTAGTAGTTTACATTTAACACTGTACAGTACTGTATTTGTTTTGTTGTTGTTGTTGTTGTTTTTGTGTCTGCTGCTGCCTGGTTACATACTGCCGGTTCCAAATGAGATGTGTGGTTGACTGCTCAGTTCGTAACTCTGGTGTTCATAACTCTGAGGTTCGACTGTACTTGGCACTGTACAGTCCCTGCCCAAAGGACTTCACACCCTAAAATGCTCTTTGGTGGGTCTCATGACTTTTCAAGATGTTTCTTAACTGAGGGCGAGGGTGACCCAGGAGGTGGGTGATGGAACAGGGGATGTGGTGAAAACAGGTTTCCTGGGTAAAGATTGAATGAAAGGTAGGACCCTACCAAATTCATGGTCCATTTTGGTCAATTTTGCGGTCATAGGATTTGAAAAATTGCAAATTTCATGATTTCAGCTATTTAAATCTGAAATGTCATGGTGTTGTCATTGTAGGGGTCCTGACCCAAAAAAAGGAGTTGAGGGGAGTTCACAAGGTTATTGTAGGGGGGGCTGCCACCCTTACTTCTGCGCTGCTGTTGGAGGCGGCGCTGCCTTCTGAGCTGCTGCTGGCAGGGTGCTGCCTAGGGTGACCAGATGTCCTGTTTTTAAAGGGACAGTCCCATTTTGGGGGATTTTTTTCTTATATAGGCACCTATTACCCCCCACTCCCTGTCCTGTTTTTTCACAGTTGCTATCTGGGCACCACAGTGCTGCCGGCCAACAGCCGCCACTCTCCAGCCACCCAGCTCTGAAGGCAGCGCAGAAATAAGGGTGGCAATACTGTAACCCCCTAAAATAACCTTGTGACCCTCCTGCAACTCCCTCTTGGGTCAGGACCCCCAATTTGAGAAATGCTGGTCTCTCCCATGAAATCTGTTCTAGTATAGGGTAAAAGCACCCAAAAGACCAGATCTCACGGGTGGGACACCAGATCTCACGGTCCATGACGCATTTTTCAGGGCTGTGAATTTGGTAGGGCAAATGACAGAGGAACACAGGATTTTGGTGCTCTCCTGTCTCAGCTTTGAGATGTTAAATCAGACCGAGATCTACAGGGCTGTGGTTAATAGTGTGACTGAAAACCATTTCTCTAGCCTGATCCTAGTTAGAGGATACTGTGAACCTTGGACAATCCCAGGGGAATCCCCGGCTGGGGAGCTGTGTCTAGCCACAAAAAGGAAAAAGAGTGCGAAGATTTCCAGATACAGCCTGTCCCTGCTCAGTGTCATCTCTGTACATAAAAAAATGGGGGGGAGAAGTGGGGGGAGCCTACAGCAATGCCCATTTGGCCTAGACCAGCCTACTGCATTGCTTTCCTAGGTTACATTCAAGGAATTATATATTTTCAGTAGGGTTAGTCAGAATTGTCTAGCACAGCAACATCAGCAGCCATTAATCCTCAGCAGTGACTGATGCATAGAGGCAGAGCAGTCACTAAAAACATGATTTCTGCCCCAATTACAATATTTCTAATAGATCATGGGGGAATTGCTTACACGTCACGTGGCCCTTGGACGGCCTGTGTTGATTGTTTACTGTTTATAATAGCGTAACTCCAACAACCAGCCCTGGGAAAGCTGCACTCCACATTCTCCAAGAACCAGAAAAAATTGAAGCGGGAGTTAAAAAGAAAGAGTGTGTTGTGTCATCTCCTCAGCAACTGTGAGCTCTGAAAAGAAGAAATACAGAATGAATGGTTGTTTATCCGCAAAAGTAGAGGGCCCAATTCCCATCTGCTCTGCATCTCTGCTGTCATTTATATGAGTGCAAAGCAGGCAAAAAAACCCACCACCTCCAAATTCTCCACTCACCCCAGTAGTAGTATTTTACATCCACTTGGCACAGTCTAACTGACTTCACTCGATACAAGGCAGTGGGGAGTCAGGCAAATAATGTGGAAGCAGCACGGGATTTAGATTTGGCAAAGGAAACTCTAATAGCTCAGATCTTATAAGAAGTTTGTGCCTCAAAGCAGCAAAATATATCCCCAATTTGAGTCTTGAAAAATTGTGGTAGAGAAATCAGAATAACAGCATCTTACAGGTATACAGTCAGTGCATTTCATCTCAAAGTAATTAACAACTCTAACAGAACTCTACAGAAGGATTGCTTACTCCATTTCTTTACTTCGATTGTAAGATCTTTGGGGGCATGGATTGTCTCTTTGTTAGATGTTTACACAGTGCCTAGCACACTTGGGCTCTGATCCTGGATTGGAGCATCCAGGTACTACCACAATACAAATAATAAATGATGATAAGGTGCAGCTGCCTCTGGGGTGAAACATGGCAGATATTTAACAGTGCACAGCAACACACTATAACACTTCATGACAAGAAGTGAAAAAACACAGAATCCACTTAAAACTGGTAGACAGAATGTAATGTGACCCAAGCTGGAATATGGCTAGCACACTGGAACTAACATCCCTGTTCCTATGAAAAGTGCCCTAAGATCCTTAATAACTACAAATAGTCAGGAGCTTAATTGTGTGTCTCATTGGCCAGATGACATTTCCAGTAGCAAGAGCTCCCTAACACAATGCATTCATTCAGTACAACACCCCGTGAGGGGTATTAGCATTATCCCCGTTTTTCCAGCTAAGGAAAGCTGAGAGGCTTGCTTAAAGTCACACACAGGCAATCTGGCCACAGAGTATAGGACTAAGTTAATGTCTCTTTAAATAAGTTGTGAGCCCTCTAGTGACTCTCAGGATGTTCTAGGTTTAGAAGCCACCAGAACCTGGTCCCAGCTGACTGTAGGTAGGCCTTGTATGTTGGTATATATTTTGTTAACATGGTTATTTGGGAACCAGCTCTTTCTGTGTTGGGTCTTCAAGTTGCTTTTGTTGAATAACGAGCAAAAGACATCAGTGACTCACAAGCTTGTGCCTTTAGCTGCTCCTTTCCTTGGAGTGGGGGGATGTGGACATGGAGTTTACAGAGTGACAACGGACAAGTCTTTACTTCTCCTTTTTCTTTCTGGAAATCGCGATGGATGGATTTGTATGGAATTAGTTCCAGGACTCATGATTCTATAGAGAGGAAGGCATGAGAGCAGCAAAGTAAGGACAAATGGACTTCAAAAAAAGCAGACTTTAACAAACTCATGAAAAGTGGCACTGTAGGTAGGATCCCCTGGGAAGAAAATCTAAGGGATAATGGAGTTCAGGAGAGCTGGCAGTTTCTCACGGAGACAATATTTAAGGCACATCTGCAAGTTATTCAGATGTGAAGGAAAGAGAGGAAGACTAGTAAAGGCCAATGCAGCTGTATCAGGAGTTCTTTAATGATCTGAAAATCAAAAAAGAATCCTACAAAAAGTGGAAATATGGAGGAGTACAAAAGACTAGCACAAGCATACAGGACAAAATAAGAAAGAATAAGGCACCAAATGAGTTAAAAGGCAGTAAGAAGAGGTTCTATAACTACATTAGGAGCTAAAGAAAGATGACGGAAAGTGTGTCTGTTAACTACTTGGTGGGGAAGAAGAGCTAATAACAGAGGTGGTTTTTAATGCAAATTTTGTTTCAGTCTTCACTGAAAAGAGAAACTGTGACTAAATGCTTAACATAATTAATATAAACAACAAGGAGGAAGGAACACAAGCCAGAATAGGGAAGGAACAGGTTAAATCATATTTAGATAAGTTGATGTATTCAAGTTGGCAAGGCCTGACAAAACTCACCCTAGGGTACTTAAGGAACGAGCTGAAGCAATATCAGAACCATTAGTGATTATCTTTGAGAACTCAGGGAGGATGGGTGAGGTCCCAAAGGACTGGAAAAGGGCATATGTAGTACTTTGTCTTTAAAAAGGGGAACAGAGAGAATCTGTGGAATTATAGACCTGTCAGCCTAACTTCAATACCTGGAAAGATACAGGAACAAATTATTAAACAATCAATTTGAAAGCACCTAGAGGATAATAGGGTGATAAGTAACAGCCAATATGGATTTGTCAAGAACAAATCATGCCAGACCAACCTAATTTCTTTCTTTAGCAGGTTACTGGCCTAGTGGATAGGGGGAAGCAATAGACATGATATATCTTGATTTTATTAAGACTTTTGACACAGTTCCACATGACATTCTCATGAGCAAACTAGGGAAATGGAGTCTAGATGAAATTATTAAAGGTGGATGCACAATTGGTTAAAAGACCATACTCAAAGAGTAGTTATCAATGGTTTACTGTCAAAATGGGAGGGTGTACCTAGTGGGGTCCCTCAGCAGTCAGTCAGCAGCAGTCCCGGGTCCAATACTAGCCAAAATTTTCATTAATGACTTGTGTCATGAAGTGGAGAATATGCTTATAAAATTTGCTGTGAGGGGTGACAAGCATTTAGGAGGCCTAGAATTCAAAACAACCTGGACAAACTGGAGAATTGGTCTGAAATCAACAAGATGAAATTCAATAAAGAGCAGTGCAAAGTACTACACTTAGGAAGAAAAAATCAAATGCAGCTACAAAATGGGGAATAACTGGCTAGGTAGTAGTATTGTTGAAAAGGATCTGAAGGTTATAGTGGATCACAAATTGAACATGAGTCAATGATGTGTCAACGATGTAGTTGCTAAAAAGGCTAATATCATCCTAGGTCCTAGGATGTGTTTAGCAGGAGTACTGTACATAAGACGCAGGAGGTAATTGACCTGAGCTACTAAGCACTGGTGAGGCCTCAGCTGGAGTATTGTGTCAGTTCTGGGTGCTGTACTTTGACAGATGACAAACTGGAGACAGTCCAGAGGAGAGCAACAAGAATGATAAAAGGTTTAGAAAACTGGACCTATGAGAAAAGGTTAAAAAACTGGTTATGTTTAGTCTTGAGAAAAGAAGACTGAGTGGGGACTTGATAGGAGTCTTCTAATATGTTAAGGGGAGTTATAAAGAGGACAGTGATCAATAGTTTTCCATATCTACAGAAGGTAGGACAAGAAGTAATCAGCTTAATCTGCAGTAAGGGAGATTTAGGTTAGATATTAAGAAAAACGTTTTATCTCTAAGGATAGTTAAGTACCGGAATAGGTTACCAAGGGAGGTTGTAGAATCTCCATCCTTGGAGATGTTTATGAACAAGTTAGACAAATAGGGATGGCCTACGTTTATTTGACCCTGCCTCAGCATGGGCAGACGGACTAGATTAGAGGTTCTCAAACTGTGGTCCTCAGACCACCAGAGGTCCGCGAGCTCCATTCAGGTGGTCCGCGGATAGTTCCTGCTAAGGTGCACACTTGGGTGGCCACACACCTAATTAGTGGACCACGCCTGGACCCTGGAGAAGATGCACATGTAAGGTGAGGTGGCGGCCTTGGGGGGAGTAGGAGGTAGGTGGGAAGGGGCAGTGGGGTGAAATATGGGGAATAGGGGGTAGGTGGGGGAGGAAGTGGGGTGAGAAGTGGGGGTAGGGGGAATTTGGGACGTGCAGGGCTGTGGCGGCCAGAGAAAAAGGTGACTTTCTCCAGCTCCAGGGCTGCAGCTGCCAGGGAGAGACGGCCCTCCTTCCCAGCCCCAGCTTGGGGGTTGCCACGGCGGGGCAGAGACTACTGATATTAAAGTATGAGTTGTGTGCTTTTATTTGTAGAACAAAAACATGTTAATTATTATTTAGGTTTTTTTATATAGCCCTTTTATCCAAAGCGCTTTACAATAGTTAGCTAACGGTACAAACAACATTTGGAAAGATCATTAGGTGGTCCGCCAAGACCCTCAGCAATTTTCAAGTGGTCCACGGAAAAAAAAGTTTGAGAACCACTGGACTAGATCACAGAATCATAGATTAGGATTGGAAGAGACCTCAGAAGGTCATCTAGTCCAACTCCCTGCACAAAGCAGGACCAACCAACTAAATCATCCCAGCCAGGGCTTTGTCAAGCCGGGCCTTAAAAACCTCTAAGAATGGAGATTCCACCACCTCCCTAGGTAACCCATTCCAGTGCTTCACCACCCTCCTAGTGAAATAGTGTTTCCTAATAGCAGGAGCGGTGCCAGGGTTTTTGCCGCCCTAGGTGGCAGCGCTCCTCCTCTGAGCATTCGGTGGCCGGGGTCCTTCTGCTCTGCGTCTTCGGGGCACTTCGGCGGCAGGTCCCGGAGTGAGTGAAGGACCCACCGCCGAATTTCCGCCAAAGACCTGGAGCGGAAGGACCCACCGCCGCCGAATTTCCGCCGAGGGTACCAAAATGCCACCCTAGGCAACCGCCTAGGGTCGCCTAGTGGAAGCACCAGCCCTGCCTAATAGCCAACCTAGACCTCCCCCACTGCAACTTGAGCCCATTGCTCCTTGTTCTGTCATCTGCCACCACTGAGAACAGCCTCGCTCCATTCTCTCTGGAACCCCCTTCAGGTAGTTGAAGGCTGTTATCAAATCCCCCCTCACTCTTCTCTTCTGCAGACTAAATAACCCCCATTCCCTCAGCCTCTCCTTGTAAGTCATGTCCCCCAGCCTCCTAATTCTTTTTGTTGCCCTCTGCTGGACTCTCTCCAATGTATCCATATCCTTTCTGTAGATGATCCCTTCCAGCCCTACATTTCAAAGATTCTGTTCTCTCAGAAGTTCTCTGGAGTCATGCGTCAGCAGCTAGGCATACTGAAGCATTTCTCTGCCTTTAGGAGCCATTTTTCTTTTCTGAACCCTACTGGATTCCAAATAACAGACTCCTTTTAATAATGGAGATATCCCATCTCCTAGAACTGGAAGGGACCTTGAAAGGTCATCGAGTCCAGCCCCCTGCCTTCACTAGCAGGACCAAGTACTGATTTTGCCCCAGATCCCTAAGTGGCCCCCTCAAGGATTGAACTCACAACCCTGGGTTTAGCAGGCCAATGCTCAAACCACTGAGCTATCCCTCCCCCCATTTTAAAAACCTTATTTACTTTACATACAACAATAGTTTAGCTATATATTATAGACTTATAGAAAGAGACCTTCTAAAATCATTAAAATGTATTACTGGCACGTGAAACCTTAAATTAGAGTGAATAAATGAAGACTCGGCACACCACTTCTAAAAGGTTGCCGACCCCTGTGCTAGCCATTACATTCTGACAGTGAGGCAGAAGTGCCATGTTGAGACTCCTCTGTCTCCTCTCCTAGCCTCATTCCCACCACCTTCCCCCTCTCACCTTCAGCACCCTGGTTTGGATCCAATACACAATACCCTGAAATTCTGACTTCCATTTACATGTTGCACAGAAGTTCCTCCTTCCTGGAATCTCATTTCCCAATAATTGATAGAGGAGGGGAGGAATCTAAAATATACATTAACAAAGCAGAGATCCAGGAAGCAACTGGTTACACTGATTTTTAAAGTGAAAGTCCAGGTGCAATATCTCCAGTGTGGATACTATCTGCCTTTCAACCAGATGTCTTCATGTAAAGCTCCCGCTGGCGTCCCATTCCCTTTGTGTATCGGTGCACAGAGAACTAGAATGAGAGACAATATAAATTAATATCCATTGGAATGACAGCTGCTTGTGCCTCGCATAGCTCCGAACACGTGCCCTAGAAGTAGAGGGATTAGTAGTAGAGCTGGATATTTGTGCTTGATCAATTACAGAAAAACAACAAAGAGAACAGGAGTACTTGTGGCACCTTAGAGACTTAGAGATGCATCCGAAGGAGTGGGTTGTAGCCCACGAAAGCTTATGCTCTAATAAATTTGTTAGTCTCTAAGGTGCCACAAGTACTCCTGTTCTTTTTGAGGATACAGACTAACACGGCTGCTACCCTGAAAGAAAAACAACAGATTGTTTTTTCCCTACCAGGGCCGGGGTAATAGCATTTTCAATAGCCACAAACAATTTGGGATCGGACTTGCAGAGGGGGTGGGAACCAGTGGCTCCCAGCAAAGTCAGTGATTGCTGGGAATCCACAGGACCTCTGAAAATTAGTCCTGGGTTTATTCTACAAGCATCCTAATGCAGTAGGGCTGTAGATGCAAATGCCCAAGGCTAGGCTTAGCTGATGCCTCATGATATCCAAGTAGATAACAATGCAAAACATTAGGCACTAGTACCTGTAGCCATAAGGAGTTGT